AAGTAGGTGCTTTAGACCACTGAGCCATCTCTCCAGCCCCTGCGTTTGATTTTTGGTAGTGAAAAAAAAAAGAAAAAAAATCCAGGTTTTATTCACAGTTCTCTGCTTTGGCAGACATGACAGAGAGACTCCTGTCTGATTATCTGCCACTACTGTTTTTTTTTTTTTTTTTTTGGTGGAATCAGGATTGAACTTGAGCCCTTGTGCTTACCAGGTAAGCACTTATTCTACTGAGCTATCTCCTGGGCCCCTCTGCCATCTACTGTTAAAAATTATTTTGAAATAACTGTAGATTCATAGGAATTTATAAAAGTAGGACAGAGAAATGCTCTTTAACATCTTACATAATATAGTAAATGTCCAAGCCAGGAATTGACAGTGGTATAGTCCACAGACTCTTTTTTTTAAGTTGAGAAGGATTTTTTTTTTTTTGGCTGGCTCAGGATGCCTTAAGAGCAAGTCTGGAAGGCCTGAGGATCTGGGGATCGAACCACAGAATCCTGAGCCTGAGTGCCTTCGCTTAAGCAGGCACTTAAACAACTGAGCTAATGGGCAGGCCCCCAAGTCCACAGACATTTATTCAGATTCCATTTATTATGAATGTGTAAGTCCATGTGATTTTATCACACGTGCAGATTCATGTACCCACCATTGCAATCAAGATACAGAGCAGGGTGCTGTTCCTCCCTCCATGCCTGCTTGTCTCTAACTGGCAACCGTACATGTGCCCTCCATCTCTATAACTGTAGAAGGCAAAGTGGGGTCATACAGTATGCTGCCTTTGGAGATTGGCTTTTTGAACACTCAGCATAATTCTTGCAGACAGACCCACAGAAGTGGTGACGCATCAGTAGCGTGTTTCTTTTTATCGCTGAGTAGCGTTTCATGGTGTGAGCGCGCCAGTTTCCATCTCACTGAAGAACATTCACACTGAAGGAGTTTTGTTTGTTTGGTGTTAGGAATTGAGCCAAGGGCCTCAGCCCAGGCTGAGCAAGTGCTGCACCGCTGGGCCACATCCCTGCCCCCTTTTATTTTTTAAAGGTAGGGTCTCACTAAATTGCCCAAGTACAACTTGGACTTATGGTCTTCCCACCTGAGGTTCCAAAGTGCTGGTATTACAAGCATGCACCATCATGCCTGGATTAATTTTAATTTTGAGATAGGGTCTTGCACAATCGCCCAGGCTGGCCTTGAATTTACTATTCTCACATCTCAGCTTTCCAGGTAGCTTGGATTACAGATGTGCATCACCATGCCCAGCTTTTTTTTATTATTGCAAGTAAATTTGTTGTGAACATTTGTATACAGGTTTTATACGGGCATACATTTTTTTAAATTTTTATGTATTTATTTATTTATGTGTGTGTGTGTGTGCGCGTGTGTGTGTGTGTGTGTGTGGCCAGCTCAGCCCACCAGGGGGCGGGGCTGGCTGGCATGTGGTGCTGGGGGATTG